GTATCACAAGTACTGTTTTGGAATAACGGTTAGGACGTTCGCCGACCATGCACATGGTTCGTGGTTCGATCCCCGGCCGACTCACTCCTTTACCTCGCTAAGCCAGAAACAATGCTGGTGAAGAGGAAAGGTTGGGCATGAGGTTAGCAACTCCATCCTGTAAAATAAACACTGCTACAGAAACTTCAAGCCACTTGCTTGAAGCCCTATGTTCCAATGGGGAACGTGAAGGAAAAAAATTATTATATTGGGATTATGAGCAGTTATAAATTGTGCTCAACACTTGTGGTCACCAGTAAATATTACTGTATAACAACACTGAGTGAGACTTTATCAAAAGTAAATTTTACTCACAATGAAATTATACTCTCTATCATCACAGTGCACAAGTTCTATTCTTATATCAACACAATTAAGTCATCAAAATTGTACACCAGTGTCCAAACAGAGCACCATTTAACTTGTCTTTATGTCAGTGTTTCTGAAACAAAAAAGATTAAAGTGCGAATAGTACTCACACATACAGACACACACTTAAATTGTCATATTTAATTAACCTCTGTCTCATCAACACATATCTGTCATTATTAAAAATACGTTTTATAATATTATCTGAAAAGACATTTTTCATTTTACAATAAGAATGCAGAAATATTACAAATCATTAGAGACAGAGAGGAGATGCGGGTTTAATAAAATATTACTTCTTAACTGTCAAAATGAAGACAAATAAAATCTATTCAAATTGTAGAAGGGCTGATGACCAGTCACCCCTATATTACGAATAATTATCATAGAAAACACACATCATACACTCGTATAAATAACTGACTTCATCTCAACCGATCGCTAGATTAGATCAGTCGAGTGAGTGAGTGACTGAGTGACAGAGATTGAGAGAGAGAGAGGTAAGTATTAGTGTATTCGAATATTTCAGTCTGTTCTGTTCAACTTGTTCATCCTGACATTCATTCATGGAACGCTAGGAACAGGATAGGCTGAAGCATTTGAACATTGCGACTGCTTATTTAAAGCAGACGTGGAGTTCGGATAGACAGCTGATGAGGACAAATCTCATCAGGTTTATTCGACTACATCTCATTTCATGAAGCCAGGATTGTTAACTTTGAAATATATCACGAATATATACTCATTATTTTTTTTGGGAAATACGCACTTTTTGTACAGCGAGGAAATACCATTTCTTTTCAACGACTTCATTTTCAAGCCAGCTCTTATTATTATTGTTTCCTTTAGTTCCTAGAGGAACATACGGCTTCAGCCGCACACCTCTACATCTGCCCACATGCTTTCATCTCCTTTTCACATGACCTCCTCTTCCATGTCAACCCTCGCACTGAAGATCAGCTAGCCACTTCCCGTTCGAGTTCCATTCGAGGGCCTGTCTAGTGATGTCACTTGATGGTTTCCTCAGAGTATGGCCAATCCACCTCCATTTCTTCCTGCAGATTTGTTGCACAATCGCTTCCTGGTTGGTTCGCTCGTTGCCAGACATCCATGTTGCTGATATAATCTTTAGCAGTATTAAGCGAAGACAGCTGTTTTTACAGGTCTCTAGTTTGTTTGAGGTGCTTTTATAACGCGCCAAGTCTCTGATCCATAAAGTAGCACTGACTTCACACTGGAGTTGAAAATCCGGATCTTATCTTCATTTTCATGCTGAGTAGGGCTGTTGATCTCCATACAGACTTGAGAGAAATGAAAGCTTGCCTTGCTTCCTGATCCTTGCTTTGATATCCTCGTCAGTTCGGCCCGTAGTTGAAACGATGCTTCCCAGGTAGGTTGGTGAAAGAGGTTGCTTCTTTCAGATTTCTCCCATTTATGTTGACTGTTGTCTGTTGCTGTTGGCCAGGAATCTTCATTAGTTATCTCTGTCTTCTCTATGTCCGTCTGAAGTCCTGTCTGTGATGCTTCTTCTGTCGTCAACTTGATGCTTTTCACTTGCATATCTTCCAGTTTGTGGGAAATTAGACATATTTAATCATCGGCGAAGTCCAGATCCTCCAAGTTCTCTTTTTGTGCGGGTCCACTTTATGCCTGTTTCCTTTAATCCAACTGTACAGTTGTATTTATATTAAGGAAAAAAGCATTAATTGGTACCAAAAATTACTGAATCACTCTGGTACATACGACAATGTATAAGCGATATATTGACGACACCATTATTTGTGATGACAGTTGTTCAACTCCTGAGCTTCTTGAAAATATTAATTTTTTTCACCTGTCTTTGCTTTTCACTGTCGAAGAAGAATAGGATTCAGCATTTCAGTTCTTACATATGATGTTAGATAGAAGAGAGGATGACGCTGTGAAATGGAGGATTTACTGAAAGCCAACATTTACACTAACTTCAACAGTTGGGTGCCTCTAGGTAGGAAGAAAAATCTTATCCATCGCCTATGCTCCGGAATTCGGAAAATCTGCACTATAGATACAATTAATATAGAACTAGAAAATTTTAGCACAAATCTCTTAAATAATGGATATCCTGGAAGGTTTATCAACAGAGACATCAAGAAAGAAACCGTCCACAGACAAATCAGTGTCAAAGAAGACATTGTTTTTGAGTTTGGCTTTCAAAGGTGACAGTATTTCTGAAGTAACTAAAAGTTGTTTATCTTCATGTTGTATTAAACGCTCTTTTTGTGTAGTTGTCTTATATTTAGTATTTACCAGCCTTAAATGTGACTCGACAATGAGTCAAGCATAAGCTACCGCTTATGTATGCGCATATACTCATGCACGTGCTCGTGTGGAGCTGGTGATTACCTTGACAGATGTAAGCGTGTTCTGCGTTCGCGCGTAGTTGAACACTACCACTCGGTTTGGTTAACGAAAGGTGAGCATAGAACGATGAAATCCTCAATTTGTGAACAGTTTCTGGAGTCAGGTGGTCATTCAGCCTCACTTAATTTATCCTTTAAAGTTATCCACTTGGCGGGCGAATCCAATCACTTTAAAAGCTTACGTTTCCTCCACCTATGCAGAGCTGAAGATTGAATTAGGTATTCAAAGAAGTTTTGTGTTAAACTCATTTCTTTATCCTCGATCACAGTAATGTTCTTTTCATTTTATTCTATTTTACCAATTGAATTTATCACACTTCATTTCATCTCCTCCGTCTTTATTGTTATCATCATCATCTAACTGTTAAATTTTTAGACAAAACTTAATACCAATTTGCTTACTTAATAATCTTTTAAAATATTTGACTGGATTATGCGTCAGACAGTGGGAAACGAGAAGACAGGGATATCCTTGGCCGACGTGAAGAACCTAGAAGACCTGGATTTCACGGATGATTTATGTTTGATGTCACACATAATCGAAGACTTACAAGCGAAAACCGAAAAACTGGTCGAAGAAGCAGCAAAGACAGGACTCCAGGTGAACATAGACAAGACAGAGGTTATGAAAATAACCAACCAACAACAACATAAGCAGCAACATCCAGCGCCAATCACCATCAATGGGAGGGATTTGAAAGAGGTTACTTCTTTCACCTATCTAGGGAGCATTGTCTCAACTACAGGCAGGTGGAACGGACGAAGATGTCACATCGAGAATTGGGAAGGCGAGAAATACATTCATCAACCTGAAACCAATCTGGAAATCTTCGTCACTCAGCCTGCATCAACAACAAAATTCGGATTTTCAATGCAAACGTCAAGTCAGTTTTGCTATACGGATCAGAAACTTGGTGGGCCACAAAGAATATATCCACCTTGATATGATTATGGGCAATAGTTTGTGCTCAAAACTTCATCAGTTAATATAACTGTACAACACCGTGTGATTTATCAAAATAAAATCTTATCCATAATGGAGTTATACTCTACCAAAGTGCCCAAGTTTTATACTTATATCAATATTTCCAACAGGTTTCAGACCTTTATCAACAACTGTCTTCGCTCCATACTCAAGATCAGATGGCCGGAAAGAATCACCAACAAGAAACTATGGGAACAAACAAAACAAGAATCAATCGCCCAACAAATATGCAGGAGAAAGTGGAGATGGATTGGACACTCGCTGAGGAGGCCATTGGGTGACATCGCACGTCAGGCCAATGCTCGAGTGGAACCCGAAAGGGAAGCGGCGAGTGGGACGTCCAAGGGTGACATGGAGGAGATCGTGTGAAGAAGAGTTGAAACAGTATGGATTAACATGGATGCAAGTGAAAAGTACAGCAGAAGACAGAAGCAAGTTGAGGCGTGCAGTTGAAGCCCTATGTTCCACTAGGAACCAAAGGGAACAATAATAATAATTCACCCACTTCAACTTTACCTGCTTAATAAATCATTTTAATCATCTTTACTTTTATCATATATACAATGTAGGCTGAGCAACTTCCAGAGTCACTTATTATTGCCTTCTTTTTCCGTAACATAAATACGACTTTATGGTTGGCTTGTAAATGCATTCGGTGGTAAGAAATATTTTTTCGGTGAAACATAACATAGTTTTCCTTGAGGAAGTATATCACAAAACATAGTCCAATTTTACCAATTAGAGAAAATCAAAACAAGATTTTTCCGAACTTTTATGTATGTAAACCACAGGTTCTTTGGCAGAATCAATTGCCGACAGGTTCACTTTGATTTATGTACTTTTTGACTATATATTGCGATGACTAATAAAAAAGAATGAATTCTACGGAAGGTGCAGTGGCTCACACAACAAAAAGTTCAGAAAAGTCTTGTTTTGATTTCCAGAACACGTAGGGGGTTATTTTAAGAAATTCCATAATAATTTACCCATGTTGTGTGACATACGCCAGTTCATTTGAAAGGTGCTGTGAGTGCATTTCTCTCATGAGAACATAGGCCTTGATATGTAATGCTAACATTAATTATGATAAAATGATGACTGGGTATGAGGTATACTCTCCATAAAACATATTTGTACTTGATTGTACTTTCTTGTTGCATATTCTCTTTATGTTTGCATTTGTATTTAACAGGTAGATAAGTCACAGTATGCATACAACCAATTTTCCTGTATCCCGCTTACTCCTAATATCAACGCTTCTTTTTATCATTTTGGATTACGCGCCAACTTCAAAGGGGTTGAATTTCAACGGATTAAAGCCATTTTTGGATAAAACAAATAATATTGCAGGTCAGATATCTCAAGGGACTCAACTTCTAAGTGGCAAAATCAATAATAAAGGAGGAGCATCGATATTTCGTCGACAGCAATTTGGAAACCAAAATCCACTCCGGTCTTCTGATGACCGGAGATTGGGTAAATCATCATCTGATCAATCAGGACAACAACAACAACAGCCCACAATGGTCAACAGAAGGGTGGAGTGTCAGTGTGAAGGTGACGTGCCACAAGCCCAAATGCCTCCTCCCAGGTATGCAACTTTCGTGGAATTGGACAACACCTATGGCTACCAACCTGTTGATGTCCCACTTGAAAGCGATGGTGAAGAATATGTTTCGGTTGTCAAGCGTCATTTGGCTTAGTTGTGGTCGACACTCCATATCACATCATAATGCATTAATATGCATCAACATTTACCGATGAATTCTGATACAAACATAGGATAACAGTGTATGGTAGATATTTCGTAATCATTCAGTTTCTCCAACTGAATAAAACGCTTAAAGTCTTGTCTTTCTTGTATTAGTGTGTGTATTCTTTGCACGGGACTCTGTCACACAGGACCATTTTATTAAACAATCGTTCTGGTTTACAAATAAAAGGTAGTAGGATCCCAAATAGACGCTGCTCTATCCAATGATTCGTAATGTGAAGGTCGAAAAATATCCATAAGTAGTGGTTAGGCTCTGCATGCGCTTCTATATTTTGAGATAAGACACAGCGAGAAGTGATAAACCTGGAAAATATACTATTCTTATTCGAAGAAAGATTTGCTAGCTATGTAATTAAGAATACATAAGTCATCAAATAGGTCATTTTTTGTGACTTCACTTTGAGCAATTTGAAAATTCCCATTCAGTCATAGAAAAGAAAAGGCATTCAGTAAGGAGTTACTCTTTTCGGCGATATCATTCTCAAGCTGTACAAACCGCAAATTCATAGTAATTTATCTTGGCAACAAAAGGAATATTTCCAAAGATGTGTTAATGCAATTGTTAATTTTTTGACAACAAATTAGCTAATTTAGAAGACGTTAATCGGTTAGAAACTAAAATAAAGTTACAAAAGTTGGTTGGGTGACGTAATCTAATTGATAGGGTTCAATGAAAAATGAATCAGAGTCAAGTTAATAATCTGAGTAGAATTCACTTAAAAATAAACGAAAATGGAGTTAGCAACAGTCGTTATGAGGGTAGAGATTTAATAGAGGGTGGGGGTAGAAAATAATGCAATTAAGAAACAGACAAACAAAGAAGAAAGAGGTAAGACAAAATTACGTCTTTGGTGTTAAGATAGATCAGGACCATTGTAGATTTAGTGACTGGACAAATTTCTTTTGTATGCAGAGTTCAGGATTCAATGTGTGAATTGCTATTGCTTCTGCAGTTTGAAGAAGTTTAATTCGTACTCTTTTGACAAGATTCCCACGTATTGTGTAGATAACTGAGAAGTTGTTTTGTGGGTTTGCTTGGTGTCCGGATTCGATCAAGTGTTCTAGGATAGAGCTGTGGCGGGGGGATCTTCTTTCTCCTTTATAAAACCATGAAGATAAGTGTTCGCTGATTCGTTTGGATAGCAAACGCTGGGTACGGCCGACATACCTAGCTCCACATGAGCAGGTGAATTGGTAGATGTACATTGATTAGACCCCCAGTGGAAGCTTATCCTTCACGTTCGTGCGAATCATTGGTTTCGTAGAGAAAGTTAGTCTGAGTTTAGCTGCGAAGAGGGCTTTCTTCAGTGAACGGCACAGGTGGTTTCTCAGTATTTCTGATGAAGAATCTCCGTTGAATTGTAGATTCAAATAGAGAAGTTTCTTGGGAGCAGTAAGCATAGACGGTTTTTGTGTTTTGAGCTTCATAGCTTTTGTGATGAAACGTTCCGGGTAACCATTTTCAAGGAGGATTCTTTTCAAGGTCTTCAGCTCCTCTTCCATAGTTTCCGGACTGCAAATGTTGTGGATTCTGTGAGTCAGTGAGAGGATTAGATTTCGTTTTGTATATAGAGGTACCCAACTGTGAAAGCTGATGAGTTGTCCATTTCATGTCGGTTTTCTGTGAATGGATCTGTTGAGTGTCCCATCTTGTTCGCGTTTTGCTAGTTGCACGTCCAGTTATTTGTATGGGATTATGTATACAAGGTTAACTGACATCAGAGGTCAAAGTTTGCCGTTCGTTAGTAGCAAAATAGATTAAAGTAAATGAGTAATAACGTATGAAAAATTGTGATTACCATAATGTAACTGACGGGGGTGACAATTAATTAGTTAATAACAGCAATGATTTGCTTTATTCCAAAACAGCACTAATGATACAGTGTGGAATTCTCAGCACTAGGTACAGTGTTGCATCTAATTTACTCGACAACAGTAAAAAATAATATTACAGGAATGACAATAAGTCAAAAGTGTACAAAAAGTACAAAGTAATGATAATAATGTTCACAGCCAAAATTATCAATTAATTGAAATATTGTCAGAATGGATCACATATAGGAGAGAATAAAATGGCCGATTATTTTGTTAACAGCATAGTAGGTCGTAGGTTATCTCTATCACTTAGAACACAAGTGGGCCAAATGTGGCATCGATGAGCCTATGTGCTTGGTAATATGGGCATATGATGACTTCTAGTCCTCTACTTGATGAGATACAAGGCGCCGACCGTTGTGAACAGAGGGGGTGTTGGGAGTCAGACAACACGGATTTAGACCATTTCTCACATAGGTTCATGTTTCTGCCGACTACAGCAGTAACCAGCTGGCTGATTAATGCCACACTGACAACCTTTAATACCCTTCTCAGTATGAAATGGTCCTTTTTGAGTAGTCCAGGAAAGGCTAAGGAGGAGCGATAAAGTGCAATAGGTAAGATGCAAGAGTCAGCCTTAAAAGCAGGGGTTGAGTAATTCCAGATTACCTGATGAATAATCGTTGGGAAATAACTGACAAGAGACAAGGGAACAAATAACAAATAAATATGATTATGAGCAATAGTTTCTGCTTGAAACGTCATCAGCTAATATTACTATATAACACTGTGATTCTTCAAAATAAAATATTATCTATAATGGAGTTATACTCTACCACAGTGCCCAAGTTTTATACTTATATCAATAACAGAACGTGGGTTAGAAAAGTGAAAATGACCTAAAGAAGTAATACAGAATACATAGATTTTATTATACAAGAATACAGGAAAACAAAACAGACACTATGGTCACGGAAGCTAAGAAAAGTGAATTCAGGAGCAAGGCAAGGCGACCTATTATCACCAATGATATTCCTAATTGTGAGAGACTGTGTCATTTGGCATTCTGTGGGGAACAAGAAGGCAGGAATCCGGTGGACCATTAAGAAAACCCTAGAAGGTCCTGACTTTGCGGAAGATTTGTGTCTAATATCACGTAATCTTGAAAGTCTAAAGGCGAAAACGGACTTTAAATAAAAGATGACTTAGCTCAATACTGAAGATCAGATGGCCGAAAGGAAAGGTTTAGCAATAAGTAACTATTTGAACAATCAGCCAAGAGAATATTAACTGAAAACGATACTATGCTTCACCTTGAATATTCCGACCTATGTTCTAACGCATTCATGTAATATGGAGACACACCGTCTTTGTTTTTCCGGCGTGACCGCTCGCCCATGGCTCGCTCCATCGTTGTGCCATTTTTAAGCGCCCTCTTCAAGCTTGCTACCACAGCCAGCCAACAGATAAGTTGTAAAACATTCTTCTTTATTAAATTTGACATTTAATCTGTGATAAAAATATGACTCATCAGAGCACACTACAAAGACACAAGCCCTTTTTTGATTAGACTTCATTAATCGTATCTTCGAATATCACTTAACAATGTCTCATCTCATACATTTTCTAATAACGTCTTCACTTGCTCATTATATTCCACTAAACCTAACATTTTATAGCTCTTTAGGAATTTGATTCGACTTATTTTATTCCTATTCTCTATAGGGTACGGTTGTGCACCAAATACACAGAAAGGTATGAAATTAAAACAACCGGCTTGTGGATAATTGTATTAAACCAAAAGTGGACAACATGATAGTAAAACCTATAGGGTAGCATTATACATTGCAAAGGAACTTTGTCAGCCTAGGGATTATAGTCTCCCATTGTATTTCCTTTATGAATGCATATATTAATGATACATTGCATTTACCTATTTCATTACGCTTTAATGATTCACTTTAGCACCTTTACTTTTCTAAAACAGCTTACTATCCCTTGTAAACGTTGTACTTACCTCAATATTGGTTGGTTATCGTATACCTACAACTACGGTTTGGAAACGATACGAAGTCGATTTTCCTGCGCAACTTGGAGGACTGCTGTTTAATTCAATAATGATACGACATGGGTCAGACAAAGAGTGTATTTATGTATATATCAAATATTTAGCTGTTCAAACATTACTAACTTGTAGACAATCTACTATTTGACATTGTATCATACTTGATCGTGCCTGTAAAAATGGCATGTATTTTCATGTAAATTTATGTTTATATGAAAATATAAATTATTATTATTAACGCACACTACCAAGTCACAAGCCTTTTTATTTAGACTTCATTAGTCGGTACTTACACGTCAGGTAGAGTATTGATTAGGGTATTAAGAGGATAAATATTTTACGAGTGAGGGTAATTAATGTCTACCATAAGTGCAACCAACCATTTACAATTGTTGAGCCCTACACTGACTTCTGTCTATCATTTAGGCCCAACCTACTTGCCTCACCGAGTTTAACTAATGCCTTTGTATTGGTGTTATTTTGCTCCACACTGTTTGTATATTTTACCTTACCCACAACTTGTCTTGAAATGGCCAACGATAGTGCTCAATCTGCAATGGCGATTACACTACAACTGCCTACTTTCTGGGCAAATCTCCCAACAGCGCTGTTTACGCACGTTGAAAGCAAATGCGCAATTCAAGGCATTTTAGTCCAGGAGACAAAAGCCAACCTGGTCATAGTTAGCCTCCAATAAAATGTTATGGAGGACGTTTTAGACGTCATAAACGATCCTGCTGCAAACTTGTATGACCACCTCAAAGAAGTCCCCAGTAAACGCTTCGCACTGACGAATCAACAAAAGTTACATAAATTATTTTGCGATACATAACTGGGGGGGTCGTAGATCCTCTCAATTACTTCGTCAAATGAAGCTGATTTGCAGATTGACGAAGCTTTCATGAAACAGTTATGGCTTCAGAGTCTCCTCATAATTCTGCAAGGTCTCCTAGCACCTTTCTACAAGTCATTCATAACGAGACTAGCAGAAGCAGCCGATAGAGCCGTAAAGGCCACAAAATCACCTACCACCATATTTTAGTCTAGGCTGTACTGGCCCCGGTTCTAGGTGATCATTCCAAACATGATAAGTTCTGTTTCGATATTCAGCAGACGCATTAC